TGAATTGACTCCCTAAATATTGTTATTTGTCTTCTATTAATCAAAACACAGTTCTTTAACGTTTCTGCCATTTCTCAATTCATGCCTCACCCATGCGGTCTTAACTTAGTCTCACCCTGGGAAGGAAGCCATGAAAGAAGTTGAAAATCAGGTTTTTCATCTGAGCACCCGTGTCCACAAGAACATTATTTTAATTTAAATCCTTGTTTGATGGGAGTGTTATGCCAAATCAGAGCGTGGGTCACTCTGGGCCAAAGTAAAAGAAGCCAGCACTTAGCAAAATCCTAAAGATCAGCTTCTGGAAGGTTTGACTGCCAAACACACCTAAAATGTACCAAGACAGCAGCCGTCTCTGCTAGTAATGAGCGCTGAAAGTGCTTGTTAGCACCACTTCTCGTAAGCAACAGGGCAGGACATTTATAGCACTTAAAAGCTCCCCTCTCGGAAAAGTCAGTTGGGATGTGCATTGAACGTATGACAGGAGTCTACTGAAGGCATCTGAAAGACTCTACCTAGCAGTGTTTTCAAAGCAGATACAAAGACTCATAACCAAACCTTCGGCAGAGTACAGGGAAGCATATGAAAGAAGGGGAGTTAGTATGATGGGGAAAGAATAGGAGCTCCACAAGGACCAAATATATCTGGGCACAGGGTCTTTTCTGAGACTGACATTCAACCAAGGACCATCTATGGATATAACCTAGAACCTCTGCTCAGATGTAGCCCATGGTAGCTCAGTAACCAACTGGTTTCCCATAGTAAGGGGAACAGGGACTATTTCTAACAGGAACTCAATGACTGGCTCTTTGACCTCCCCACCCCCCAAGGGAGGAGCAGTCCTGTTAGGCCACAGAGGAGGACTTTGCAGCCAGTCCTGAAGATACCTGATAAAACAGGATCAGATGAATGGAGAGGAGTTCCCCGCCTATCAGTGGACTTGGAAAGGGGCAGGGTGGAGATGAGGGAGGGAGAGTGGATTGGGAGGGAATGAGGGAGCGGGATACAGCTGGGATACAGAGTTAATAAAATGTAACTGATAAGAAAAAAAAATAAAATTAAAAAAAAGAGAGAAGACAACACCAAAATAATAAAAAAAAAAAAGCTCCCCTCTCAGTGGACCTGGAGAGGGGCATGGGAGGAGATGACGGGGGGGGGGATGGGACTGGGAGGGGGCTACGTCTGGGATACAAAGTGAATAAACTGCAATTAATGTAACAAATAAAAATTGAATTAAAAAAAGAAAAGAAAAAATTAAAAAGAAAATAACCATCGTTGCCACTAATGATTGCCCTCTCAGGATGCTCATGATATGTGTTTGAGCACTTGCTACCTGTTTGTCCCATTGTTTTACAAATGAGCTATTCTCCACCCCTCACTGAAGATTGAGCAGCTCTATTTGATTTCTGTTCTGACATAACTCTGTCCTGAAGCCAGCTAGGCATGATGGTACGCACCTGTTAGATCAGCATGTGGAAAGTTGATTCATGAGGGCTGCAAAGGCACAGCAAAAGCTTTCAGAGAGAAAGGGAAGGACAGAAGAGAGAGAAGGAAGAGAGGGATGGGAGAGGGAGACTTCGATTCTCAAGAAGATAGAATCTTGTATCAACAATTGTGTCCTGATTCTAAAGACAAACATTTTTAGAACTCCCCTTTGGAAGAAATTCTCATGAGTCTGAAGTTGGCCCGATTAACTCAGTAGCATGACTTTGCCAGCCTACCATGGCAAAAGTAGCCCACCCTGGCTAGTTGGCCTCAGACTTCAGAGATCTCACACTTTGGGGAGCGCTTTCAACACCACATTGGTTTCATAAAAGAAAATTTACTGCACATTGTAGGTGTGACCACTGTGAATGTTTTTATCTCAAAATGCATTGTACATTATTATGCTGGGACTGTGAAGAAAGTGCTTATCTGTATATTAAAAAAGGTGATTCAGAGTACATTTTCCACTTCAAAAAAGCTAGAGGTCAGAAATAAAGCATTTGTACCATACATGATGTTTTTTTTTATTAATCCCCAAACCTTTTATAGATGTAGCCCATGGCAGCTCAGTATCTCCTTCCTTTTCAGAAGCACACCAACACCTAAAATCATATAATAGCTGTCTCAGTTATGTCCAATGGAATAACAGCAAGTTGGGTAATTTTGTGAGTAACAGCACTCAAAACATTTCATTAAAGACAGATGGTGTTGAGCTGTTACTACAGCTGTTTAAGTCAAATACAAGCCAGTATTATGGACCAGATTATGTTATAAATAAAATACTCTCTCTATCACTCTTGGCATGCAATGCCTGTGCTTATCAAGGGTTCTGTGTACAGAACCAGTCTTTGGAGCTCTATAGATGTAAGCTGCCTCTGGAGATTGAACAGAAAGCTGAAATGTTACTGACCAAATAGTCACCCATGTAAGACAGAGACAGTAGGACATTTGACTGCCTTTTTGGTCCATTTTCTGTTAATATAAAAAGTTATCAGAGGCTATTTTATGAAGTAGTTTATCTGTCTTGCAATTCTGGTGGTTGGAAGATTGAAACAATATAGTAACAATATCATAACAGAGTCTCCCCCTACACACACACACACACACACACACACACACACACACACACACACGCCTGCATTATGACTTGTTGCACCATCAGGAAGAAAAATGGCTGCTGCAGAAAAGGCCATACACTGGAAGCAGCTTTGCTTTATAACAACCTTCTCATACAAGAATTATTGTCATAAAAGTACCTCAGTGTTCCCTTCTGAGGCTGAAACTCCCAGTGACCTAAATACCTTCTATTATACCCCATTCCTGAAAGTTCTCCCCCATTCCTGAAAGTTTCCACCACTCATTGTTACCAGACTGAGGATCAAACAGCACAAACCTCTGGGGAGCACAGAGTGCACACCGTTCACCTGTGCTTTTCAATCTTTTTTTAAATTTTAATTTTTATTATTTTATATTCATTACAGTATATTTTGTATCCCAGCTGTAGCCCCCTCCCTCATCCCCTCCACACCCACTCTTCCTCTCTCAACTCCTCCCATTCCCCTCCTCCCCTTCCATCTGACCTTAGCCTATCAGATCTCATCAAGACTGGCTGCATTGTCTTCCTCTGTGGCCAGGTAAAGCTGTTCCCCTCTCAGGCGGAGGTGATCAAAGAGTTCATGTCAAAGACAGTACCTGTTCCCCTTACCCACTGGGATACTGAGCTTCCATGGGCTACATCTGTGCACATGGTCCTTGGTTGGAGTATCAGTCTTACAAAAGACCCCTGTGCCCAGATTTTTTGGTTCTGTTGCTCTCCTTGTGGGACTCCTGTCTCTTCCAGGTCTTTCTTTCTCCCCCTTCTTTTATAAGATTCCCTGCACTCTGCCCAAAGTTTGGTTATGAACCTCAGTATCTGCTTTAATACACTGCTGGGTAGAGTCTTTGAGAGGCCCTCTGGTAGGCTCCTGTCCTGTTTCTTGTTTTCTCCCTCTTCCAATGTCCATCCTGTTTGTCCTTCTGAGTGAGGATTGATCATCTCACCTAAGGTCCTCCTTCTTGCTTAGCTTCTTTAGGTGTACAGATTTTAGTATGTTTATCCTATATTATATGTCTAAAATCACTTATAAATGAGTATATACAGTGTGTGTCTTTCTGCTTCTGGGATACCTCACTCATGATGATCTTTTCTATTTTTTAATTAAATTTTATTTTTTTACATTAAATACATTTTATTCACTTTGTATCCCAGCTGTAGCATCTTCCCTCATTCCCTCCCAATCCCACCCTCCCTCCTTCATCTCCTCCTACACCCCTCTCCAAGTCCACTGATAGGGAAGGTCCTCTCCTTCCATCTGGCCCTAGCCTATTAGGTCGCATCAGGACTGGCTGCACTGTCCTCCTCTGTGGCCTGGCAAGGATTCTCCTCCCTCGGAGGGGGGGTGGTCAAAGAGCCAGCCACTGAGTTCATGATCTTTTCTAGATCCCACCATTTGCCTGCTTCTTGTTTTTAATTGCTGAGTAGTATTCTATTGTGTAAATGTACCACAATTTCTGTATCCATTCCTCAGTTGATGGACACCTGGGTTGTTTTCAGATTCTGGCTATTACGAATAAAGCTGCTGTGAGCATGTTTGAGCAAATGTCCTTGTTGTGTACTTGAGCATATTTTGGATACATGCCTAGGAGTGGTATAGCTGGATCTTAAGGAAACATTATTCCTAATTGTCTGAGAGTGATTTCCAATGTGGTTGTACGAGTTTACATTCCCACCAGCAGCAGAGGAGGGTTCCCCTTTCTCCACATCTTCTCCAGCATGTGTTGTCACTTGAGTTTTTGATCTTAGCCATTCTGATGGGTGTAAGGTGAAATCTCAGGGTCGTTTTGATTTGCATTTCCCTGATGACTAAGGAGGTTGAGCATCTCTTTAGGTGTTTCTCTGCCGTTCTATATTCCTCTACAGAGAATTCTCTGTTTAGCTCTGTACCCCCAAGAAAACTCAAGATATAGATAACTTCACAACAGAAAAATTAAAAGAAAGCAAGCATTGAAACACAGTAACACCACCAAGTCCACAATAAAAGAAACTAACATTCATTGGTCACTATTATCTATCAACATCAATGGACTCAACTCTCCAATAAAAAGACACAAACTAACAGACTGGGTGCAGAAACAGGATCCAACATTCTGCTGCACCAAAGAAACACACCTATGAAACAAAGATAAACACTACCTCAGAGTAAAGGGCTGGAAAAAAGTTTTTCAAGCAAATGGACCCAGAAAACAAGCTGGGGTAGCCATCCTCATACCTAATAAAATAGACTTTCAACCAAAATTAATCAAAAAAGATGAGGAGAGACACTACATTCTCATCAAAGGAAAAATCCACCAGGAGGACATCACAATTCTGAATATCTATGCCCCAAATACAAGAGCGCCTACATTCGTAAATAAAACATTATTAAAGCTTAAATCACTCATGGACCCCAACACCTTAATAGTGCTTTTCAATCTTACAGACTATCCAGAAGGCTCATCTTCTCTTGCTGTGGAGATCGAAACATAGCAGTCTTCACCTTTTCTGCAGCTCTGACAGGTCAGTATTCTGAAGGAGGCACATTCTGTGCCACCTGGCCTAAGAAGCAGCCTTGGGAGCAGAACTACAGTGTTCTAGTATGTGTGACCTCATTCTGGTGAGCAAGGCATTAAATTTTCCCCCTCGTTACACACAGGAGAAGCTCTATGCATAATTTCCCTGTGCAATGTACTGAAAAAGATGCCTTTATTCTCTTCAAACTCACTGTACTTCACTTGTGCTGAAAGACCCCAGGGGATCCAAAAACAGCCAAATATCCTGTTCAGGTTATTTCCTTTCATACTGTGAATTATAAACCTTGTCGCAGTGTATTCCAGGTCTCTGAAACGGTACAGATTATAAATAAGTTCTTTTGCCTGACTCCATTATGTCTGTTAATAACCTACTCTTACCTTCCTAACATGCTACTAATTTGTTATCAGCGGCAGGCAGCTTTTTGCACAGGATTCTCTTTGGCCTGCTGAAAAGCTAAACAGCCTTCTCTTTGCAACACTTACAAGTAAATAAGACCAGTATGATTCCATATTAAAAGGAGACTTTTAGTTATAGAAATGCCACAGCACTCAAAGCACTGAATTGATTAAGACGTCACTTCTTTTCCCATGGGGAAAAAAAAAAAAAAAACTAACAGTTACTCAGAAGCCTCTCCATCTGATTGTGAGTTCTCCTGTCTTCATTCATGTCCCTGCACAACTTCTGCTATGGGCTGATATAAGTACAGGTACTATGCCAAGGTACTATACCTTGTATATGCCAATTACTTTGCTAGGTACTTCCATCAGCTATGCAAAGAAAAATGTTAGAACTCACATTTTTCTCATGAGAAAACTGAAATGCAGTAAATCCACTTAACTGAGGTTCCCCAGCTGTCAAGTGGCTAACCTAAAATTGGATCCCAGGATTGTATGACTTCCAGTCATGCTATGTCCATTGTGACGCTGCATTTAAAGGCCTGGTGGTCTCCTGGCTATGAACTTCACGTATAACTAAAGCTTAAAATAGAGACCACTTAAGTCTGTTTTCTTATTCAAAGTCTTAATGAAATGCTTGACATTTTGGTAAGATATTTTAATATCTACATCCCCATTATCTCGGAAGCTTGTTTATTTTAGTATGTGTCTAAAGGTAGTCTGAAATGCCAGTTTTCTGATATGTTAATTGTTTGGTAAAAAGAAAAAGGTGTTACTAGAGAATAACATATAAGCATGTTTCATGTAGAAATTCTTGGGACTTTCAAAGAGCTGTTTTATGACTCAGTAGGTAGTAATTGTAGTCACCCTTTGAATTTGTCATCTCCTATCGAAGTCATGGAACCTTGCCTTTATATCAGTACATGTTAGGATTTTTAACATGCCAAGGAATATTGTGGATCCCCCACAGGGGTGTAAGATATTTCCCAAACTTACATGACCATGCGAGTCCCCCTAGCCTTTCATGAACATCCTGAATAAGTATTTAACCATAAAATACACTATTTCTACTTCCCTGAGGAAGCAAAATTACCTTTAAGGAATACGTTTTCCAAGGAACACTACCTAAATAAATTAGGTGATTGGTTAATGGGACCAACAAAGCCATGTTCTGCTAATAATAGACCATTTGAGGGAAGAGTGGGAGAAATATTTTAAAACTTGTCAAGAAGCTGGGTATGGTGGTGCCCACCTTTAATCCAAACGCTTTGGAGGCAGAGGCAGGCAGATCTCTGAGTTTGATCTCTGGTATACAGAGTGAATTCCAGGACAACCAAGACTATGAAGACTTTTTAAAGTATCTATAGATAGTGATTAAAATGATACTCGTAAAATCTCCAATCTTAAATCACCTTGAATATCTCTCCATAAGATAGTTGAACACATTATATATGTCCAAAATTATAGTTTTGCATATATTTTCCTTTGAAGAGATTTTTAATTAAAAAAAAAAAAAACTAAGGGCAAAATGAATGCCCATGTTTGTAATTTAGGATTAACAAACACTGGGGCTGAAGAAATGGCTCAGTGGTTAAGAGCACTGACTATTTTTCCAGAAGACCCAGGTTCAGGTCCCAGGAACCACATGGCTCACAACTAACTCTCACTCCAGTTTCAGGATATCTGGTCTCTGTTCGCACTGTATGCCCATGGTGCACAGACATAGATGCAGGAAAAATACCCACATGCATAAAATTTAAAAAATAATTAACAAACACTAACTCTTTATTTTGTTTCTGCTTTTATATATAAAAGAGAATTATTTTCATAATTCTTACACAAAGACTCACTGATTCTACATATTTCCTTCAAAATGAAAGGAAAAACAACGTGCAAAATATACAGTGTACAGAAACTAGCATCTTTAATAATTTCTTGCAATTCATTAAAGAAAAACAGAACAGTTAGAAAATGGTCAAAAGATTTTCTTTTTTATTAATTTTTATTTTTTATTATTAGTTACAGTTTGTTAACTCTGTATCCCAGCTGTATCCCTCTCCCTCCTTCCCTCCCAATCCCACCCTCCCAAACTCATCTCCTCCCTGCCTCTTTCCAAGTCCACTGATAAGGGAGAACCTCTTCACCTTTCATCTGATACTGTTTTATCAGGTATCTTCAGGACTGGCTGCAAAGTCCTCCTCTGTGGCCTAGCAGGACTGCTCCTCCCTTGGTGGGGGAGGGTTTCAAAGAGCCTGCCATCGAGTTCATGTCAGAAACAGTCCCTGTTCCCCTTATTAGGGTACCCACTGGGATACTGAGCTACCAAGGGCTACATCTGAGCAGGGGAGGAATAAGTAGGTATTGAACAGAACTGCTCCAGTACTGGATGTAGTGTTTATTTAAACTTAACAACCAGGGAAAGGTAAATATTATCATTACTCTATTAGATATAGACACTGGGCTTTGGGCAGGATCTTTCCAGAGTCCTGCAGTTTATAAGCACAACAATACTGGCTAAAATCCAGATTTTTCTGACCTCATGTTACATTTTTACCTACCAAAAAATGCTACCTCAGCCGCTGCCAAGAATTCTGTTTTCACTAAACTGAAAAAGCAGTGAAAAGGTTCTTATTTGTCCACAAGACTGCACAATGCTATACATTAAACTACATTCCACTATTTTCCTATTCTTTAAACTACTATTCAGAAGGACTATATATTAATATATATTTTAAACATTCAAAGGTTTGGTTATGAAGTTTCTTAAAAATAAATTAAGGAAGACAAAGAACTAATAGATTGGAGAGTAGCAGACAGCTCCTACAAGGACCTTATTTTTAGTTTTTTCTTACTTTACAAGCATTTCTTAGCCCGTATATATTTCTGGTTTCTAGAAATTTGGTTTGGCAGTATTACACTTCTGCCCATTACATGATTGCTGCAATTATCTATTCCGTATGTTATATTTCCAAAGAATACTTAAATAACAAAAAAAAAGAAAATAGTCAAAAGATGTAACAATATAATCAATAAAATCAACAAATAAATTAAAAAATTATTCAATGTTGCTATAAAATTTAAGTTAGCATAATATATTTACCAGTTTTTATCTACTAAATCAATCAGGCTTTATGAATTATATTACCTATTGTTGTCAAAGACATAGTGAGGCAAATCATTTCAGATATGTTTAAATTTATATGTCACCTGTTTGTATGAAGGCAAGTTGGTGACATATATAAAAGTGTTAACACGTTCAAAATTTTTTCTCTGGTAAATGCATTTTGGGAATGTATTTAAATGAATTAACCAGAGTTCTATACAACTATTTATCAATTTATTATATTGTCAGAATTTTTAAAATAGAACTCAGTACTAAGTATCTAGTAGTAGGAACCTAATGAAACTGCTTCCATCATTCTAATAAAATATCATACAATCATTAATTTCTTTATTTTACAATTAACAAGATTATATGAAAATGCTGTATGAATGAAGTTATTTCTCTGTGGCATAGACTGCGTCTAACTTTAAAGTTGTATCTATATTTTTATTATTAGGAATAAGGTTATGAACACTATCCTTGGAAGTAAATCAGTTGGAATCATTTCCATAGTACAGAATACAGAAGTAAAGTTACTAATATGAATATATTTTCTTTTTTAAATCTTTAATTGCCATTTGTTTGTTTCTCTGATGCATCTAATGGCAAAGCAGTGGGTGTCAAAGAACAGCTGGGAGGAGTCAAATTTCTCCTTACACCGTGTGACTTCTGGGGATTGTACTCAGGTCATAAGGCTTGATGGCAAGTGCATTTACCCTCTAAGCCATCTTTAAAAAAAAAAACATATTTTCATGAAATGATTTTAATAGTTACAAATTATTATCAACTAGATGTCACTATGTGCTCATTTGCAGTTATTCAACTCACTTGGAAGTTTCTGCTTTTCATCCCCAGGAACCATCTCCCATGAGGTTTACAGACTTCAGCGCTGAGAACAACCACAAAACACATCACCATGTTGGACTGAAAGCTTCACAGTTTGCGAGTTTCATCACATACTTGCTGTGCAGATAGTTTGGGACTTTGCAAATTTACTTTGCTGATTGAACTCAGTTTGGAAACAATTGCTTCAAGCCAGTTTTTCTTTTTTACTCTCCCCCAATCCATGAAAGCCTAAGTGTAAAATATATATCTTTATATTTGTCTAGTCAGGTAAAAAGGGATTCAGAAGATTACCTTGGAGTCTAATTCCCCCGTGAAAGATTATTACCCATGTCTTTTTGCAGGGTCTTTCCGGTATTGAGAGGAGTCAGTACGTGTTTTGGGCTTATGTTCATGGGCATATATTAACATGTATATGCACAATGTATCGATATAGAATTCTGCCAAATACCAAGGTTTAAAAACTGACACTTGGATTTAATCATACTTTTCACGTAAACAGCAACTCAAATATTTGATGAACTCCGAACAAACTTTATATTATTAGCCAGGTGTGGTGGTGCATTCCTTTAATCCCAGCACTCACAAGGTGGATATCTGTGAATTTAAGGCCAGCCTGGTCTACAGACTAAGTTCCAGAATAGCCAAGACTACATAGAGAACCCCTGCCTGAAAAAAAAAATGTATCTGAAATTTAAGGAAATTAAATAGACAGTGAGCAAGATCCTGTTGAGAACTGAGCAACAATGCAAAGCTTGTCCTGTCACAGAACTTTCTGAAAGCACCATAGCTAATGTGTAAGACCAGATCAAACTTCTGTTTTTGTAAGCATAATAATTAACATTTTAAGGCCAGGAATGATGGTGCATGCCTGTCATCTTATCACTTGGGAGGCAGAGGAGGGGGATCACTGCAAGGTCAAGACCAGCCTGGTTGTACTGAGTTTCAGGCCAGTTTGGATTACATTAAAAAAAAGAAAAAAAGAAAACCCTGTCCTGAGGGGAAAAAAAAAAAAAAAAAAAGAATTAATTTCTTAAAAACATTTAATGCCAGGCTATGGTCAAAATCTCTATTTTAATCATTTATCTGCTATATAGCTTTATTTTAGCCTTTGTAAATTACTTTTATAATGGTAGAAATACTATAAGCCTAAGTTATGGCCCATCCATTTTATAAAAAAAGAGTTAAGGGTGATTTTCAGGTATAATTAAAATTCTGTTGAAGAAGATAAAGTTTCGGATATGACACTAGCCTGAGGATTAGCTAAAGGTCTGTGTTTTCCCAGCAGGAGTTAATGCACAGAGTTAACTGAACAGTGATATTCCAGTCCTCTTTTTTAAGCTTCAGTGGCAGCTCAGCCATTAAGAGAGTTTACATCCATTTCCCCAATTATTTATAACCAGCCATCCTTTCAGTCCTAGTGCCTGGATCAATGAGATGGACACTAATGCTGCTTCTTTATAATAATAGTACCTAAGAGTATTGATGTTTTTCATTTTTCAACCAACACTCTAATGCACAGCTGCTGACAATAAAAGCCCCAACTCTTTAACAGAGATCAGTAGGAGTTACAGACATCTCACAGTTATCAAGGAATTGAACTCCTTAAGAGATAGTTGGGTTTCCTAAAGTATTCTCGCTAAAAGTTTCTGAGTGAAAAAGAGTTCCCTGGCACAAACAAATCTGTGTTGGTGCCCCAGTGCAATTGAGAAGGAAAACAACCCAGCTATTATTTAAAGCAACGACCAAATGGACCCATTTGGTCCCCCTAGAGCCAAGGTGAGACATTTAGCATCAAATGGATATTAGTCTGCTTTTCATTTGAGAGAACACAAGAAATAAACAAATCTTTAGGGAAAGGGCCTGGGGACTGCTTCTAAAACTCACAGATTAAGGAGCAACCTCGAAGACTGTGCATGGTAGATTTATGGTGAAAATTTATACTTTCACGTGTGAAAAACTTTCCCTTTCCATGCTCCTGAAGCACTTCTCCTCTCTAGGTTTCCCTTGGAAGCATATTTGGCTATCAACATGGCTTTATGATCCCCAGACCTTGCCTTTTAGTCCTGTACGAATGTACCTTTCTCTAAAGGGATGCAGGCAGCATTTCACAGGAAATCAGCATCAAAGCAACCTTCCCTGACCTTATCTATGGTCTTCTGCTGTGGTACAGTACAGAAGCTGCTGTTTGTGATGTGAGGAAGACATCAGGAACACCTCCTCTGTAGAGAGTATTAGCAGTCAGACCACATAGACATCATTTCACAAACGACAATGTTAGTCTCCTACAGGGAAGCACTGGGAAGGTAAAGTTCAGGTTAATGCAAGCTGATTGGTCAGTGTCTTAAGACTTCCAGTGTCTCCAAAGAGCCAAATAAACCAGGGGTTTCTCTAGGTGCTTGGAGAAAGAAGAAACCCTATTCTTGCTTTAGTATCTTGATCCCACTAGTTTATAGACATTGATAATATCCCTATACGTAGGTTCTTTGTGTATTGATTACTGTATATAGGCATCTAAATGGTTAGTTATTGATCAAGAAGACAGGTTTGTTTCATAATCAGCACACCCTGACCTCACTCATTTGTGTTCTTTTTCTTTGTAACTTGCTAAATAACTTCTGTGGGATCTCATCCCCCAATCTTTGGTACTCTTCTTCCACAGTTCGAAAATGGAGCTACTTGTTAATATCCCACAGCTGAAAGGTGCTATGTAACTCCCTAGTGCTCTTACATATTTTTATTTGCAGGACTGGAATGAAAAGTTTAACCATTACAGAATTTCTAAGCAAACAAATATGCTCTATTCTTTTCTTCCATGCTCTTAGTGCAGAGTATTTTCTTGCAGAGCCTAGAGTACTTTGTTAATGTTCTTCCACTTGTTCCAGCAATGCTCTCGAAAAGAGGCAGAATGGAAATTACTCTTCCAAAAATGAAAGAAAAAGAGATAACATGCCACCCAGAAGTACATAGGTATTTTGTACAGCCCACTCTTAGAGAGACTTGGCTTCCTAGTGTAAGAGTTACCATGGATCAAAGAGAACAGAATCACATTCCAAAAGAGTCCCTCTTTCTCCAAAATCTTGAAGTTTGCAATCTAGACAGCTCTTTAGTTTCTAATGCAATATGTGCCTCTTCCCCTCAACTGGCCCTGTAAGACATGTATTTCACACTAGATGGCATTAGCCAGTGCCATAATCTCCTAGGGGACCCAGACAGCCCAATCTCAGGGTTCATTTTTCCAGGGAAAATAATGGGCTTCCTCACGTTCGTGCCAAATTGCACAAAGTGTAGGCATTTATGTTAGTTGATATTTAAGCACAGTCCTAGCAAGTATGTTTTAAGAATACTGTGTATGTGTTATTGCAATATACACCTGACACTTAACAATGCCCCCAACTGACAGGAATGTAACAATCAATCATAGTCTATATCTTTCAACTCTCATCCTAGATATCTACACCTGTGGACATGGACATGAATGTACACCCTTCCTTTAAGGCAGACTGCTTGGTCATTAGAACTAATATTTTACAGGGGTGATTCTGTTTTTCCTTTTTAATGAAGTCCAAAATGACAGGACGTGAAGAACATTTCATTTATCTTCTGAGTTGCTAAGAGTCTTATTTGGACTGAAAGACATGTCCTGTGTCTGCACAGAGAACATCTAACAAGACCGTCAGACCCTATTGCAAGTTCCAAGTTCACAGAAAATTCATGCACTCCGTCCAATCAGGAGGAAATGGTGGACAGTGTATACACCATTTGCATTACTTTAACCATACCTATAAAGTATCATATTATGCTACAGCCTTTGCATGTGGGTGGCTCTTACTAGCATGCAATCCTTGATTTGTTTACTTCCCCAAAAGGGCTAAGCCTAGTTAACATTCATCAGCAGAATGAGTTAAAACACACAATGAATTCAATCTATCAGGATGTAGGTTTTTGGTGGGGAATGGTTAAAAGAAAAGAACAATAAGATAAGGTGCATTCACAAAGTAATTGCTTTCAGCCTGCTGTCTAAATAAGCAAAGGAACACAGCAGGAAAGCTGGGTCTGGGTCTTGGTAAGATATGGAATGTATTGGAGAGTCAGAAAAGGAAAGACAATGGGGAACTTGTACAGTTAAGACCAAGTTGCCAATTTGCTATAAATCCCTTTTGCCATCAGTCTGCTTATAGTGATATGTATTTATATAGTATTCTTAAAACGATGTGTCTTGCTGTAGAAATTCTGAAAAATGCTGGTCAGCTTTATGTTCCTATGCCCTTTATTAAAACTATAAACTAAAATACATAAATACGTTCTGTCTTTTCTTTATCATAATTTGCAAAAAACAAAAACAAAAACAACAACAACAAAAAAATATTGGTGAAGGCTAGAACTTCAGCTACCCTGATGGTAGGTTCTGTACATTTCATTTTCCAGAACAACGACAGAATTCACGCACTCCCAGATGGGTTGGTAGATGTGGCATATAGATTCCTCTGTTAGATCTCATCTTGTGAACACCCACTCCTACATTTTCAGTGTTTTTCTTTTACATGAGTAGAGCCGAGAAATTAATGGTAATGGCTTTTTGATAGAACACTGACCAGGCTAATGGCACTTAATCGTGTTCAGCATTTGCTCAGCCTCACACGCCTTCTGTCTTTTACTTTGCCATTATGATAAGTAAAAAGAAAAGTCTTGTTTTATGTGTCTAAACATGCTCTCAAGTCTGCTTTGCTTTTTCTCATACTGAAAACTGTGTTTATTGGTCTCCAAAAGTATGTCCCCTGAAGAAATAATGCAATAGTCCAGAGGGGGAAGCATGTAGCAGCCCACTTGCTCCTAAACCACACACTTAGAGAAATATTTGAAACCAGTATCATCAAGTGAGCCTACTGAAAATTTGCCTTCAAGGTTGCCAAGGTAAAGCTTCTTTCAGGGCTTTCTTGGTAAGGTGCCTAAGGAGGAGGACCTGAATTCGGATCCCCAGCACTCTTGTAGAAAGCCAGGTGTGGAGGTGGTACATGCCTATAATCCCAGCAGTGAGAAAGCAGAGGCAACAGAGCATCTCCAAGGCTTGCTA